ATTCGATAATTATGATCACTAAAATTCAAAGTTTTTCAAAAGCCGCGGTACATAAAAATAATTATAAACTACGTAGCTAACAAATTCTTTACACCGATTATATTTTCTGTAAAACTAGGCCACAAACAAAATTGAATTTCTTATATCCAATTATTTAGGATTTTAGGTAATAAAAATCGTAAAAATTGGAATTTTTTTTGTGGCCTACTTTTATAGAAAAATTGTCAATGCAAAGAATTTTGATAATGTCTACAAAAATTATACAAATTTGTTGTCCCATCAGAAACACTTTTGTCCATGCCAAATATTTATTTCCTATGAAAATAGATTTTTTTCGATCGAACATTTCTTTTTTGTGATCTAACTTGAGAGACAAAAATTATCAACAACAACATCCAAGCCTTAGTCCCAAAAGATATTGGGATCGGCTAACATGAATCGATACATGATATCACCACCAAAAGGAAAAGAAAGAAAATAAAGATAAAAAAAGATAAGCTATTATGAAAAAGATAAAATAAAAAGAGATGAATATACCTTAAAAATGATAAAATAAAAAGGATAAAAATAATGTTTATATATATAAGGATAAAAAGGTTTAAAAAAACAAGAAAAAAATAAGGGGAAAATATAATACGAGATCACCCCTCCACACGAATACCAGCCCTCCACTTTGCTCTCTCCAAAGCCATACCCTCATCTAACTCAAGAAGAAACATATCACTTCGAACTCCCCTAACCCACGTTTGTTTGTGCCTTCCTCTTCCTCTCTTCCTTGCCTCTTCTCCACACATCTCAACTCGTCTAACAGGTGAATCACTCAGTCTTCTATGCACATGACCAAACCACCGTAGACGCGACTCCCGCATATTGTCTTCAATAGGTGCTACTCCCACCCTTTGTCTGATTGTCTCATTCTTCACGTGCTCCTTCCTAGTATGCCCACACATTCAACATAGCATGTGCATCTCCGCCACATTCACCTTTTGAATGTGACAATGTTTCACCGCCCAACACTCTACGCCATAGAGTAATGTAGACCTATTTGATGTCTTATAAAACTTACCCTTCAGTCTAGTCGGCATACCTCTATCGCATAGAAATCCTGACGCACTCTTGCACTTCATCCACCCTGTTCTGATTCTATGGGATACATCTCCATCTAACTCACCGTCCTTCTGAATTATCGATGCATATTTTTTTAAACGAGTACATTTTTTATTATCATGTCACCTTTATAACTCTAATAATTATGTCAAAAGTTATATGGAGTAATAACTAAAGATATTAGTTCAAATTTAACGGTGAGTACTACATTTATAAACATTTGAACAACTTAGGGATGACATCTACAATATTGAAAACGCGATAATTACCATGAATTCACAAGAAAGTGAAATTCCCTCTTTTATTTTTTTATGTTAGATACAACTGTTGCTTAGACTACATCATCATCATCGATTCATCATCATCATTACTATTATTACTATTATTGTTGTTGTTGTTTATTAATTCATTTATTTAAAATGAAGACACAACTTTTCTCTTACAATAATGAGCTTTGTTTATTTGTTTATGAATACAATAATGAGCTTTTGTGAACGCCCCATCAAGTTTTTTTTTTAAATAAATGTGTGCTTAACTTTTTTTTAATCCCGGAAAGGCCACTTAAAGTGGGGAAAGTGCCGGGGAACATTTTCCTTATTTATTTAAACATTAAAGTACAAAACCAGAGTTCAAAATGAAAAGTACAAGACAAAATGAAAATTAATAATCCAACTTTTTTCCGGCCTTCTTACAATAGTGTCACTTAATCGTAATTCAGGATAATACAACCTTTGCACCCCATCTTCATTCGTTGGTCCAAGACCGGATGATGACATGCTATTTCAGACTTTTTCATTTTCTTTGCAAATCATTAAACTATAAATCCCACTTTTTACAAATCTTTTCAAAAAGATCCAACAAATATTTTTTTCCCTAAAATTTTCTTTCATTTTTATGTATTTCTATCCGTTGTAGTCTCTTTTTATATTTTTGAGAAAAGAGACAAATAAGCCCTCGAACTATTCGCGATTTTGCAATCAGACTCATGAACTGGAAGACTTGCAGATACACCCCTCAACTCGTTGAAAGTCAAGCAATCATATCCTTTTTACTTATTGGTGCCGGTAATTTCTCATCTCCTTACCTGCACAGATGGGTAAAAAATGATCTGGTTGCTCGATTTTCAACGAGTTGAGGGGTGTATTTGCAATTCTTCCGGTTCAGGAGCTTGATTGCAAAATCGCAAATAGCTCAGGAGTCTGGGCTACTTGTTTATATTTTTTCTTTGAATTTTTTAGAAAAGAGAAAACTATAGGGGAAATTCTCCAAATAAGACTTAATGAAACTTTAATTGCAAGAATATGAGTATAACTTCAAAATTCCCTAAATAGGACTAGCTTTTCAATTCTACCCTTACTTTGTTTTAGTGGAATTCATATTTCATTAATAATTAACACATTAAAGTAATAACATAACTTAATTTATAATAAAAATGTAGGAACAAATACGAAAATAAATATTAAATAAAATTAGTAAAACTAAAACATTAGAGAAATATAAATTATAAAATTAAAAATTCAAAAAATTAAAATTACAAAAAAAATCAAAAACAAATATGCAGGCCTCTGTAGCCGCTTGAACAACCTCCCAGCACCACCAACTCCGACATACGGAAAAAATTCCAACATGTGTCAATAATGTCATTAGGCATGGACCGGTCCCGGACCGGTCAAAAGCGGGACAGAATTTATGGGCCTAAGGCCCGGTACTGGCCCGAGAATCTACCGGGACCGGTCCGGGTCAGCCCGAGTCATTTAATTAATTAATTAATTAATTTTGCTTTTCTAATTTATTCCTACTCCCCCACCCCCAAACCCCGCCAAACCACCCAGCCCAACCCACCTAGCAGAGGCCCAAACCCAAAAAAATAAAAATAAAAAGATTGGCCCGAACCGGTCCCAGAGCGGCCCGGCCAGTCACCCAATTGCATGTCCTGTACACCGCCCCCAAACCCCGGTTCGGGCCTCAGTCTTGGTCCAAGTACTGCAGGACCGGGCCGGTATTGAAAAGTGGCGGTCCGGGCCGGTCAGACCGGGCCCGGTCCATCCTTAATGTCATCTTGATCGCGGTTTTCGAGATAAATAACATAGTTCTATACTTCTGGTTGTGCATCTAGGGATTACTTTAATCCTACTTTGGGGCTATTTTCTCAAAAATATATCAGCGGTGGAATCAAGGTAAGAAAAGAAAAAAGAAAATAAAAGTAAAAATAAATTAGAGTAAAAAGCGGGTACGGTGAGAAAAAGATCTTTTATAAGAAAGGAGCTAATTTGAAATATATATATATAAATGAAATAATAAACGGGAAGAAGAAAAGGAAGGAAAAAATGGATTACATAAACATGGAAAAGAAATAAAAATAAGAATAAGAGGTCGAAAAAGTAGGGGTGAGAAAATAACCGATTTAACCGACCTGACAAAAAATCGATGACCGAACCGACCGAAAAAATCGGCTTTCGGTCGGTTTTCGGTTATCATAAATTAAAAAGAATCGGTTATTCGGTTATTCGGTTTTTATTCGGTTATATTTTGGACGGTTATCGGTGACCGACCGATAACCGGTCACCGATAACCGTCCAAAATATATAAGTATATATATTCCATAGTAATATAATACTCCGTATGAAGTCCAGCCCACACTTTTTGAAGTCCACCTACAAAACTCAATAGTCGAATGCTCTGGAGCCCTCAACCCTTGACCTCATTAGATGAGTTTGCTAGTTTGGGGTTAAATGTTTAAGAAGATAACAGCTTAATTATTTGCTAATAAGTTATTTTTTATTTGGTTTCATGCACATGTGGGTGATGCATCATGCCTGCATATGTAGTGTGCTTTGTACTATTATTTAATTTAAATAAGTTAAATCCATTTTTATATTTATTATTTTATTTATTAATGTGTTGTCTACAACTTTCATAATTTTGAAAATTATATGCTTTTTTCGGTTATGGTTGCCTGGTCGGTTATTCAGTTACCGACCGAAACCGAATGACATTTTCGGTCGGTTTTTGTAATGTTGTCGGTTGGTTTTCGGTCGGTTATTTGACCGACTGACCGAATGCTCATCCCTACGAAAAAGTAAAATAAAAGAGTCAAGACGATAAAAATAAAAAGCGAAAAGTTTTAGGGAGAAAAAAATAAATGATACGTGGGACTAGAGGTGGACTCGGGCCGGGTGGCCTGACCCGGTACTGTTGGGCCCGGCCCGACCCAGTGGCCCGGTGAGGGACCGGTCCGGGTATGCCCGGCCCGGGGGGTTTTCCGGTGCGGGCTCGGCCGCTCGGGTCATGTAAATAAGGAACCGGCACGGCCGGGCCCGGTTCGGGCCATATTTTTTTTTTCAATTTTTTTGAAAACCCGGGTTGGGCTAGGTATTTTGGGCCATTTGGGAGGTGGGGGGGGGGGGGGGGGTCGGGGGTTAATTAGGAAAAGGGAAAAAAATAGAAATTGGCCCGAGGCCCGACCCGACCCGGCGGCAACCCGGGCCGGTCCCCAGCCTTCCCCCAAACACAAAAGGCCCGACCGGTCCTAGGCCCGAGCCCGAACCGGCCCGGCTCCACCCCTACGTGGGACCGCTTTGAGAAGATTTGTGAGAGGTGAAATTTATATTTTAATGTTTTGCACATAAAAGAAAATAATCTGAAATGGCAGGTCATCTATCGGTCAGAGACCAACAAATGAAGATGGAGTGCAAATGTTTTATTATTGTTGAATTCGTATTAGGTACGAAGACCGGTTAGATTATTAGTTTCTATTTTTCCCTAAAAAAAATAGGCGGAGCAATTAAGTTATGAACAGGGGTATGTGCATCACATGTTATTTATCAAATATCAGAAAGTGTTATGAATGACTACAATTTCAAACTAGGATCTTCACCTACAAAAAATTATACTACGTAAAAAAAGTGAAACACATTCCAACCATTGGAAATCAATTCTTACATGTGTTAGGTTAAGCTGCTGTACAAAGCTGGCTAACTATTTTAGTTACATAAAAAAAAAACCTATTAAATACACAGCAACAATATTAATTGATTGTTAGCAGCCTAATTACCAATCATAGTGAAAGGTAACTCCGGTTTAATCCAGCAGCAAGCTAAGTCATCAAATGTTGGACGAAAAAATTAAAGGAATTGGAATAATTGAGAGAGCTAGAAATTGGCTGGAAAATGCACAGCTCATGTTATATGCATATTGAGTTTTTCCATATCATCATCATCATCTAGACCATCATCCTGCATGCGAAAAGTAGTGGCTGCACCGAACTTTCTCCTCTCATCAGATTCATCCTCTTCATATTCATCATCATCATCATCGTCAGAGTCGTCAAGAGTGTGGGGTGGGGGCGCAAGAACACTCCTAGACCGGCAGCTGGGAGCAGCCAGCATGTTTACCTGTCCCAAATGAGAAATTTCCACCACAACAGTTTCATCATCCAAAGGAAGGGGTTGTTTCCATGGCTCCCCATCAATCCTCATAAATGTGTGGTCTGCAGCACCTTTTTGAAACTCAAACCGAATTCCATGTGCCTGAAATACGGACAGACAGGGTGTGGGTGACGTAAGTAGTGTTTATATCCACATACAGCTAGCCTCAATTCGATCACTAGCACAGATGCTAGCTAGAGATCGAACAAAAAAATCAGCTTAGTATTAATTAATACTCCGTATAATAAAAGTTAAACACTAACTTGTGCAAGTCGTCTCCCATGCCCCCTTGGTGCAAGCAAAACGAGGCCATGCCAAGCATCCCGAAACCCAACCACCTCAATCAGCCCATCATCAACATATGGAGGAGTCAAGTCCCTCTGCTCCATTCATTTATAACACAACACATCATTTCTTCTCATTCATGTCAATTAAAAACTGTAGTACACACTGAATAATATAATAGTACCTAGTAGATAAATAAAGGCATTTTACATTCCAACAAATTAATAATTATAATAAATATAGTATTCATAATAGTATCATGAAAAATTAACCTCATGGAGCTTTTTCTTATTGGGACTTCCCCAAGGATTGAAACCACCAGAAAAGCTGGGCAGGTTGAGGCAGACAATCGACCTGATACTGCATTTTGTTTTCTTACCAATCATTACTTAACAAAATCAAATGGCACTTGAGTTTTATTCCCCCAAAATGTATAGATCAGAGATGCATGATACATATTTCATAGGGAAAAGTACAGAAAAGGTACATGTGATTTGGGCCGTTTTCAGATAGGGGCACATGTTTTATTTTTTAACAAAGTGGGGCATGTGGTTCAATTCTGTTATCACAGCTGGGGCATGGTGTCTAACGCCGTCAGAAAAATTAACTCCGATTTTCAAAAGTCTCCAAAAAAGTAAAAGAAAAATACTAAGAGGTGCGCCTCATCAAGAAGACCTCCAGACCATCTTTCTTTTTTTGTTTTCAGTCACCCGGTCGCCAGAAAGTCCACTGGAAAAGTGATATTAGCGAATTCTTTTTAAAAAATAATCCAAATTGAGCCAAAAAAATCAAAGAGAACGATTGTTTGTTGATCTCCTTGACGAGGCGCACCTCTTAATATTTTTCTTTTAATTTTTCGGAGACTTTTGAAAATCGGATTTGATTTTTCTGACGGCATTAGACGCCATGCCCCAGCTGTGATAACAGAATTGAACCACATGTCCCACTTTATTAAAAAATGAAAACGGTCCAAACCACATGTACCTTTTTTGTACTTTTCCCTATTTCATAACTCCTAGTATATATTAAGCTTATTTTCATTAACCATCAGAAATAAAAACGTGCTTTAATTACCTTCTTGGTATCTCGAGATCGACCCAATCACCGGTTTTTTTCTTTATTTTAACCTTACTCAGCTGTGCAATGTTCCTGCCAATTAGATGCGAACATTAATTCGGTGACGTTTATGATTAAGAAAGGGGGAATTCTTCCCAAAATATGACTTATTCACTTCTATTTGAGGAAGTTTTTATTACTTCACTCTTTTAATAGGACTAAATAAAATCTATTCTGGTAATAAAACATGCTTCATTCTATTTTTAAAGTTTGTCCATGTTTTACGCCTATTTTAAGCAATTTCTTTCAAGGGAGAAAGAACAATTATCTTCAAGTCTTAATTTCTGCGACTAATGTGCTGCAAAGAGACACAAATCCATATTTCCACTGGCAAGTTTTACAAAGAAAATACTATCTATAGCAATCAATGAATGTTAAGGGCATGCATATGTCATATTGTACACGAGCTTGAGTTTATGCCCTTTAAGGCCATGAAGAGACTAACTTCGAAGATGGATGTGTCAGAGAAGCCCAAAACCACCCTTGAGTACAGCCAAGCTTCGCATAGTTAGTCTAATACAAATAGAAAGAGTAGGATCAGAACAAAAGAAAATTCAGAGTTCAATATCCCAGCAATACAAGCTTTAATTACCATTACAAAAGATTAAGAATTTTATTGAAGACCAGAGGGCATTGGAGCACCTGATTAACTAATTGGTTTTTAAATTTTTCAGGATGTAGCTTCCTTTCACTGTGAAATGCATAAGAAACCTGTGCATCCATCCCTGCAGAATGAACGTTTGGAGTTTATGGAACAAGATGGCAAAATGAAAATAAGTTTCTCTTGATGCACATAAAACTTATAAAGGCCCAGGAGATTTGTTTGACAGTTTAAGGTTGATGGTAAGTGTACAGCATTATGAATATCTTTCTGCAATATAAAGCTGGATGCAATCTTACAGAAAAACACATCATCATTACAATTAACAATCAAAGATACTTTTAACTGTGGCGATGAATAATCATGTACTACAAATGGTATAAGACATTTAAAGAGCTGACTTTCAAATAGCATGAAGCATTGATATTCTAAAAAGTACAGCATACAAAATTGGAGCACATTATGACATGAGTACATGACTACAGCTGTACATAAGAGATTTGAACGTATTGCCCAAAGCTTAACTATAATGGAACCTTTAGGAAAATGAGAAAAGGGCGGATAACTAAAATAGTACCAAAACACACTACTCCTGTCATCCAATGCTACTAATGAATTAAAAAGGCAGAATTGAACAAATGACTTTGTATACAAATGAACAGTTTTCATGTTGAACTATTGATAAGCAAAGACAATAATCACAATACATGTGTTGGAATATAAATGAGATGAATATATAATCCTAATGAGGAGAGAAGATTAAAATGATCAAGAATATGTTCTTAGTTAAAAATAGTTCCAGAAAATGCGTTCGAATAATTTAAGTGAGTAAGAATACAAACTTACCCATGCTAAAATAGTTCCAGAATCCTCCTCTAAATGTGTGGTAACCCTCCTAATTAAAAAACAAGTAGAATGTTCAATACTTCAACAGTAGATAAAAATTATGGAAATCTAAGAGCAGCGTGGTATAAATGAAGCTCCAATTAACTGCTAGACTAGTTTCCCTTTCTGAACTCAAACTCAGCATAAGCATCTCTTTCATTTATCTATGTAAAGCTAAATGTCCAAGATCTTAACATGATATTACGGGACAAACATGCCTTTCAGCACACTGCGCTATGATCAATTACAAGTGTTATATATGAGCCTCTAAATGAAAAGGATATAAGAACTGTAAAGTCAGTATTAAAGGCACAAGTTATTTTGCATTCAAATCATCATTTGGATATAGGTATAGATCCAATTAGTCCGATAAGAAAAAATCATATCTGCTCCCACAGCAATGATTCCAATGAACACTCACTCTGATATCTGACCACTTGAGCACTGACATCTGTACATTTTGTAGGTCCTGGTAAACCCTAAAGTTATTTAAGTGTTCCACGGAATGAACACATGGTAGTGTTCCACTTGTGGGAGACTTGGGATGGTGAGCACTGAGTGTTTGGTGCTCTAGAGCACGGAAGAAAGCCCTAAGAGACAAAAAAAGCCTCTACCTCATTTAATGTATCTGCTTGAGAGACACGCTTAAAAGCATGCAGTGAATGTGGTAGCTCAAGGGGCGCAATGGGATCACAAGAGCCTTCAATAGGAGCCCTCATTCGCATAAGAATATGCCAGCTGAAACAAGTGGAAAATCATGCAATTACAACACAGGAAATGTGAGAAAAAAAATTGATAGGTCTAGTGAGACAGAATTTTCTAATCTCAGTCAAAGCATCTTAATTGTGATCCACTGTAATAAAAATTGACCGGTCAAAAAAACACATATGTGCAACAATTGTCTATTTGGTACTCAAGAGTGAAACTTCTTAGTTCTTACCTGTCAACTTTCATCACTTTTGCATTTCTTACTTGATCCAGGAAATGCTTCACAGAGCTGCAATCTGTACCGGGATTCTTTTTCCCCTGTGAATTAAAAGATGCGCTTATGCAGGTGTACGGTTTTCTAGATGATATGCAACTTAGAAACCTCAAACACAAGAATTGTACGGAACACGAATGTCACACATGCAATCTTACCCAGCCAAATGCAAATGGGAGATTGTTTCCTGTTCCTAAAGGTACTGTTGCAATTGGTGGTGGACATGCTAATTTAAGATCCGAAATCACTCCAAGAAGCCAGCCAGCTGTTCCATCACCACCAGCAACCTATTTCACTAAGTTAACATATGATGCATAGAACAAAACAGTCCAAAGGAGCACCAAACTACTGAAATGACTCACAATGATTCTCAGTGTGTTCTCGATTACAAAAGACATATTATCCCCATTCCTTTTATGCTTTTCCAAGTTCGAGTAAATCTGGTGTAGCACTTTGTCAGGAGATCTTTCTCCCAAATCATAAACCTGAAGAAAAAGTTGGTCCCTTGACCTTTTTAGGGCCTAAAACATTCTCAAACTTTATTATACTCTGTAAATAAATGCATTAGGTTTTTACACATTGAAGGTATAACTGATTGAAAAAAACACGCTACAAAGTAAATGAACCTGATTTTGGTTGAGAAGCCTACGATACGTCAGCAGAAGTTCGCCCCCAAGTTGGCCACCACTTCTAGAATTGATAAACACTACGATGGGGCAAGCAGGTACTGCATAGGACGTTGTTGCTTCTATTTCAGACAAAAGCATGTAATCAGGAATGTAGTACTCCATCAAAACCTTCTGAGATTCCATGCTACTCACAGCTGCACCCTTGCTGGGGGATTTAATATAAAAAACGGTGATGAACTCTGAATATTACGTTCCATCAACCCCCAAAAAACAAATGAATAACTTACGGATTAACCTATTAACACATCATTCCCTGTCTAATTAAAAATGAACTCTGATTCAATTAAAAATGTTATCAGCCAATCATTTTATCTCTAATTCTTCTACATGGAGCTACCATACCTAAAAAATCAAAACTAAAAAATTCCACCAACAATTAAAGAGAAACCAGGAAATTCATCAAGGAAAGAGCTACTGGAACCGAAGGGCACTGGTGCTTCAATAAGCTTGGCACCTTTTAAGGCAACAATAGCTAAAGGGCGTCTTCATATAGTTCGCCAAGGTCCGCCGTCTTCTGTCCAACCTTCTCATCACATACAATTCACCGGAAATTTGTTCAGAAACTCTACATTAACTAGGCATATATATCCTTTCCCCCACTGCACACAGTACACGCACTCCATACTCAAACTCCTACGTAGTACTCATATATTAGGAATTAAAGTTAGATGCTTTACCTGTCCGGTAATAAAAAGGCGGATGCTTTTCTTGTCCAGAAATGCTTCCCTATACACCCAAAATTCGGTTAATCGGCTGGATATCCAACTGTGACTTCACCCATACGCACTGGAAAAAGTGAATTATGACTCCCGGCAGTGGAGGTTTTCAAATTCCTCCTCTACCAAATATATATACTGTACACTTGCAATCAGATATACTCCGTGTTAGAGATTGAGAGATTATTATTTGTAGTCAGGCCTGACAATTTTGAAAATCTAATTGCATTTGATGAAGGAAATTTGAATAATCAAATCCGCGTGCCATTAATCGCGTAGATGTAGTGACGGGGAAATACAACGGAAAGTGGTTCGCGCAAATGGGAGAAGTTCAATTTGGATGCGGATTGGGTTGCTGCTTATTTCTTCCCTCAGAAATGCAAAGAAATTTCGCGGATTGTGGCAGGGCCACCAGTTTGAAATTTCGCGTGGTCACAAAGTTCGGTTAACCATAATTTGCTCCTCTAATTTGGTTTGATCCGGATCAGCACGGTCATCTCATGTACAAATTTGTTTCTCGGGTTTTGCCACCAGTACAATACGGAGTACTAAAAAACAACTTTTAGAAAAAACAAAGACTTACATGAAGGATGAGGACCATTTTACCCTTACAAACCTAGTTGACTCATACAGAGATAAAAAAAAGGGAAAATATCACAAATAGGCTTAAAAGTGAAAACAATATCACTTTTATCACGGTGTGAAGTTGTTTTCAAAATTAGACAACTTAAACTTTTTTCTTTCATAAATGTCCTATGCTTGTGCGAACTCCTTCCGAAGCAGATTCCGTATCTTTGCTCCCTAATTGATTAAGTTCGTATCTCTATTCTCAAATCTCAAGTGTAGTGGCCTATCTTAAGTGTCCTCTTTTTGTCATTTTAAATAGAATAAATAGAATAAAATTCAAATAAAAAAAATGTACTCCTAATAAAGAACAACTATGAAAATGTAAAATAATATATAAATGTTCTGAGACTATTAAAAATATAAAAAGTAATTAGATTTTTTTTTGAAAGATTGCTTTTTAAAAATTAGAATACTTGAAAAATAAAAATTCTATAAAATTCAAATAAATATATAAATTGAAAATATTCGAAAATTTCAATTAAATATTTAAATTAAAATATAAATAGAATATATAATTCATAAAAATTAAAATAAGAAAATCAATGTAAGCTCAAAAGCATGTGATATACTAAAAACCCTAAACACCTAAAACTTATAGACAAATATGTAAAGTAAAAAAAAAGTATTCTAAAACTATAAAAAGGTATCAAAGGAATTTCAAGATTTCTATGAAAACAGTAAAATTTTAAAAACCGCAAAATAAACAAAAAAATAAAACTTAAGAAATTCAAATAAATGTTTCAATTTAAGAAACTAAAAAAAATTAAAAAAAATCATAAAAATTTATAAATTAAAAACAGAAAAATAAAATTTTAAGAATTGGGAAATAAGTATAAGTATGGTTTTATTAATTTTGTAAGTTGTTACATAGCTTAATTCTACTTATAATTTTATTGTTAATTTTTGTTGCCTGTTGTTTCTTTATGTTTATTTTTGTTGCAAATTTTGCATAATTTGTTTTTTATTGTTTATTCATATTTCTTGTTGTTGAGATTCATAAATCAAAATTTATCATTTTAGGTGATTGAATATCTATAAATAATTTTTCTGCCACACAAGTAGCAAAGATAAATAGAAACCTAAATAAACAACTAAAATCATAATCAACTATAAACAACAATAAGCAACACAATGCAACAATATGAAACACAATGAAACAAAAAGAAACACATATAATACAACAAAAAGAAACAAAAAATAACATACAAAACTATCACAATAAATATATAATTCAATTTATTACATTTATTGAGTATGCTATTTGGCTTTGCTTCTTATCATTTCTTCTTCTTTTTATGCATCATAACACATAAGTTCTCGTGCTTGGCTCTCTTGTCTTCTTTTCCTCATTGATCCTCTGAGTCTTAGTATCACCCTTGTTGTATATATGCAGAAAATAGTATATATTAGGGTCATCCCTCACAATATTCATCAAACTGAGTGCCTGAAAACATAAATCCAGGAAAAAATATAAGCTTTAAAAAGACACAAACTATGCTAAGTTATGTGATTGCAAAGATACATACAACACCAGGATCATCCTCACCAATGGATTACTAGCATAAAAGAATGACTTCTAGTAGTTCAATTCACTTTCATCCTCACAAATGGATCAGGCAGCCTTGCACATTGTTGAAGGATATAAACAAAATCATTAGAATTCAAGGTGCTTCTTTCATTCCCAAACTCTAACAAGAGCCTTGAAGCTCTACTTCTTTCCCCTAAACAGAGATGCTCAAGAAGTTGGAGGAGGAGATAGACCACTTTCTATGACAAGCAGTGGCATGCAAGTTGGCTGCAAGATGAGACTCCTAAGGATTCTTGAAAACAGTTTCTACTTCTTCCTTTTGAACCCCTCCTACTATGGTGTTCCAGTATATCAATGAAGAGTACTGCAAGCAACATAACAATTCATATTTACACTCCTCGTAATGTTAATTAATGGAGAAGTAGATTCCTTGTATTTGATCCCAACTCGATTCATTAAAAGAGGTCTTGGATCTTGTTAAAAAAATGTGCCTCCAGAACATTCTTCTGCATTGATCCTGAACAAACCAAATATCTGAACCTAGTATCGTACCACCTCAATAAAAAAGATCAGTTTAGTTCGACTAGACCACGAAAGAGGAATTATTCTATGATTTCTCATATACTAGTACAAACTTCCTTGGCTAGTATTGCAACTTACAAATAAGCTCCCTAATTAAATGAGTTATAGTTGAAAGCGAAAAGAAGCAAGTGCTTCACCTTTACCATGAACAACCTTCTGTCCCTTCAAAAACAAAGATCTTTACATTTAGAAACATCTTACACTACTTTACTAGCAAAACAAAAAGAGGAGTGAACATAAGTGATTCGACAACATGTTCTCCATTTCCTAATGAAGAGGATTCCATTTCCTACCTCTAAATAGCGCCACAAAGTTGATTAAAACTATATCTGCCTTGAATAGAGTAGTGAAAGTAACCAATGAAGAGCAGACATATGAACCTTTGTTAATGAGATTATGTCAATGGTCAAAGCAGAAGAGATATAGCACAAAGGAGTTTATAAATGACCAAACAGTGGACCATATTTGAACAACATTAAGAGAAACCATCCCATGTAAACCGGCTAACTCAGCATTCAACTTCAAATCAGCTGAGAACTAAAATTGTCAAAAAACATTCACCTACGACACATTAGAATAAAAAGAGCAACATTAGAATCTCTCAATCATTCATAAGTATCTAGTCAATGAACTAAGATAAACCCCAACAAAACCAGAATATGTAATAAAAACTTGAATTCTAAACACACATATAAAGTATAACAAAATCGCATAACAGTAATCTAAAAAATGTAGGTGAATTTAACATTGTCTTAGGAAAATTGGAGAGTAAAAGCACAAGGAATATATGAAAAGGAAAGATATGATTTGATTTCCAAAAAAGGTTCATTAATAACCTTAGCTATGGAATCGTCAGAATTACCGAATTTCTAGGCACACCATTGATATCACAGCCTCAGGGAAGCATCGGCAGCGGCAGACCTCCTAATCACAGCCGTTGGAGCAGAGAACACGGATGGCGGAGCTATCATTATACCAGATACTCTGAACTTGTCCTGTGGCGTCAGCGAGACTCTGAGAGCGAGGCGGCGAATTCCCGTGTGGTGAGAACTCGATCCAATTTGATGTGGATGATAACTCCCGTGACCTCAGATACTTTAATTATAAGATGTAGAGTTTTATGGCGCGATTAAACAGATACCGAAGCAATGGAGTCGAAGATGATGGAAGAGGTTTAAACGTAGGTATGTATAGAGGGAGGTGGAAGGAGGAGGTCTAAAATTGAAATAAAAAATCCAAAATTGAAAACAGAAAAGCTTAAGAATGAAAAGAGAAAATGGTACCGACATAATTGATATACGGAATATAAAAGTGGTCCGTTTGGGTAATTTCCACGATAAAAAACATGTTTTTACTTGGACTATTTTCAGTCTTAAACCAGACCAGACAATACTTAGGCTATGTTTGGCACAACGAACTGGAACTGGAGGCTAATGTCTGAAATAGGGCTATTGCCTGAACTAGAGACTATTGTCTGAAGCTGAACTTTTGGGTGCTGAATCTGAATTGCCAACTGAATGAAGTAGACCTGTTTGGCAAAAAGAGCTGAAACATTGCAGTGATAATATGAAATGACACTAAAGGACATATGATTTATTAATATACTATGATTTATTATTGTCGAGTAACACACCAATTCAAATACAGTGAAATACCAGTCTAGCAGGTATGACCTTAAACTATTATTCTTGTAACATCTCAAATCCTTGGCCGAATATTTTATACGGAGTATCAATTAATACAGTACTATGTACAATTGTACAAATGAAATTAGATAAACTTGAATACAACAAAATCGTTTGATACTTGGCAAGCTGCATGTTGTAACTTTTAAGTGCATGCCACTCGTCCTAAATGCACATTGCAGACAAATAGTACAAATTAAAGAGAACCATAATGTATCTATATACTAGTCCCATATAATTTATATAGAGGTATTCCATATGAAAGTAAGCTAGTGCCTAGTGGCCTGAGCCTATTTAGCTCTAATCATTATGTTAATGCGTACTCCACAAAATTCAGAAGTGAATTAGTTTGGTGTTAAGCTAAGATTTGTTTTCGGGCTCAAGTGAATTCGTGAATCCCGAGTCTGTGTTCTCTGGAAAGTGAAAAATACTATTCTGAACATGATTACAGATGAGAAACAAATTGTCGGGAGTTCTAGGCTTTTTTCAGGGTGACGGGAGAAAAGAAGAGGAGGCCTGGAGCAGACCTCTATGTTTGTAAAGTAGCTTCTGAACCACGAGTATGCTTAACAAATCAAGATGAGAAAGCCATTGACACAAATCAATTGCAGAACGAGTGGGCTGTGATGGGGAAGGAAGTATGGAGAGATGAATATATGTATGCGTGTGAAATGAGGGATATAACTGGAACGTGAAGTCTGAAATCGAGAGGCTGTATCTAAACGCTAGGGATGGAAACGTTCCATCTCAGCCCACTTTTTCCAGTTCAAGTCCATTTCAGCCTCTCAAACAAACGGGTTTACTTTGCTTCTAATGGACTGAATTTAAAAGATTTCAGCCCTTTTTCAGCTGAACTGCCGTGCCGAACACAGCCTTAAACACACCAGACTTAATCAGACCATATCAGACTTAAACAGACCAGACCAGACTTAAAAAGTCCAAACCAGACCAGATTTGACTTCCGTAGTTATAAAATACACAGAGATCAGACGTTTTACCAAACCATACCAGACCAGACTTAAACATACTAGACCAGACCAGACTAAAA